TGGAAAGTAATTTGGCAATGTGTTTTCAGAGCCTTAAAGCTGTTCATACCGTCTGACTTAGGACTTGTGCTCTTGAGAAACTACCCCAAGAAGAGAGTCCTTGAACAAATCCATGCTCAAAAATTCTAAGTTATTTATAGTATTTTATTCCTTCGCTTAACTATAGCAAGGAATTTGAAGTAATTTAAATGTCTGATAAAAGGAGAATGGATAAATATATTCACTTAAAGGAATAGTATCACTCAAGATATTTTGAAGGGTGTCAGAGAAATATGCAAGGAAAAACAGTACAAAGAACACAAGCATTAGAATGTCTCTTTAAATATGCTCAGAGGGCTTTCAAGGGTACTCAACCTACCAGTAAAGTACATGCTGGGCCAACCTGAGTTCAGTGACCTGGTTCCATCCCTGGAACTCACATGAATGTGAAAGGAAAGACCAAACTCCACGTGAATGTCATGGCACACACATCACATCACACCGTACATATGCAATGATAATAAATACATTTTAAAGGTAATGGAAAAGAATAAATCGTTGTTTTGGATTTCAAATTTTGTTTCTAAGGAAAACTTCCTGATATTTTTTAATTTAGTGTTTTTTTTAAAGAAAGCAAATATAAATACTCTTATTACCTAGAAAAGTGTACTTTATGGTAAAGAAGGGGTGATTAAGAATTCCTTGTTGGGCTGGGCACGGTGGCATGTGCCTTTAATCTCAACAGGCACATCTCTGTGAGTTTAGAGCCAGCCTGATCTACATAGTGAGTTCCAGAACAGCCGGGGCTACATAATAAGACCCTGTCTCTAAAAACACAAGATTTCCTTGTTAGAGACTGGAGAGATAGCTTAGCAGTTAAGAACACTTGTTCTTGCAGAAGGCCAGAATTCAGTTCCCAGCTCACCACCATCCATACTTCCAGTTCCAGGGCATCCACCCTCTTGTCACTACCTCAGACATCAGGCACACCTGTGGTGCACATACAAGAGATGTGCGGGCAAAATATTCATACACATAAAATAAATAAATCTTAAATAATATAAAAGACTCCCTTGTGGGCATGGGTTGTAGAATGCCTGCCTCTCTGTGCAAGGCCCCGAATTCCATTGCTGGGGCGGGAAGGGTTCTAGTGCTCAGCTGAGTTGCAATTTCCTTCTACTCTTTATGTAAAGCCATACTTCTGAGCATCCTGATTTTAGCCTCAGACTATTAGAAAGCTACGCCACTATTTCAGATGAGTAAATAAATATTTGGATTATTACAGTATCTTACATGGTTTGATTAATGTAACTCAGTTTCCCAGTGCTGCGTTCTTGTTGGTGAGTGAGATCAAATCAGTTTTGAGCTTACAGCTCTGAAGTCCGGACTCTGAACCTTACCAAAACACAACAGCATGCTGGAGAACTGCAAGAAACAGCAGCAGCTCAGTGGCCAGCACACTGTTAATGGACAAGGAAGATGGGCAAAAATTAGGGCAAAACCATAGTGTTTGTAATAAACTGGTCTTTAGGTTGGAGCAGGAGGAAAAGGAGCAGCTGGAAACATTCATCTCTCCTTAAGCAACAAATCCTTGCTACTCATAAAAATCCAATTCTCCAGCTCTTTTGTAAAACTTACTCAAAGTGTTAGCTAAATGTTTGATTTGCTAATTAGTTTCTTTAGCTGTGTTACATAATTATGTAACTAGGCTTTGCACTTCACTCATATTATTTTTAATAACATCTCTTTATTCAGATATAATCCACCCCTTTAGAGTGTAAAATGAGTTGTGCAACCATTACCACAGTCAATTTTAGAATATTTTCATTACCCCAAAAGGAACTCCATTAACAGTCACTTCCGATTTCCCCCAAAACTCCAGATAACCACAGATGTACTTTCATATAAATTTGTATGGCCTTTTGCCCTTGATTTCTTATAATTCAACATAGTATCTTGAAGTTTCATCAATATTGTGGCATATATAAGTGCTTCATTACTTTTTACGTTTGTTTCATTTTTAATATATTTTTAACTATTTGAGAATTAAATTCAAACATGTATATTTCTATTTTTATTCTATTTTCAGTTTTTATTTATGTGTGTGGATGTTTCATTTGCCTGTGTATCTGTGTATCACTTGCATCTCTGGTGCCCACAAAAACCAGAAGAGGGTATCGGATTCCTGGAACTGGTTTACAGACAGCTGTGAGCTGACATATGGGTTCTTGGAATGGAACCTGGGTCCTCTAGAGGAGCAACCAGGGCTTTTAATTTCTGAGCCATCTCTCCAGTCCCATGTTTTTATTAACCTTTAAGAGTATACCACATTTTGTTTACCCATTTACCTGCTGATAGACACTTATTCTCAGTTCATATACACATATACACCACTATGAACATAAATAAACAAATTTTTGTGGAAACAAATTTTGTTCACGTGCGCGCGCATGCATGTGTGTGTGTGTGTGTGTGTGTGTATGCACATGTGCATGCCTGTATATAACTCAGTGTTTAATACTCTGAGGCACTGACAACTGTCCAGAGTGGCTGTACTATTTCACAGTCCAAACAGCAATGCTGTGCTAACTGGCTCACCCTTTCATTCCATGGTCAGTTGGCTGCATTACTGTGGGACTATAAAGCAGGGTCATGGCAGAGGTAGCATGGGACAAATTTCTCTGATGATGGCAGAATGCAGGAAAAATCTCAGGACATGCCCCAGTGACCCATGTCCTTCAGGTAGAGCCTACCCCCTGAAGTCTTTCTCCTATCAAGGAACCCATCAGTGAATTAGCCCATTGTTGAGGTCTGGCACATTTAGCAGGATATAGCTTCATGGCTCAGCCACTTCCCCAAAGCTCATCTCTAAACATCGTTAAATTGGGCACCAAGCCTCATATCCAAACTGGAACACAGAGCTGTGTTCCCTTTCTGTTTGGTGTCCTTTGAAGCACACAGCGTTTGGATTTTATTAGCCAAATATATTGTTTTCCTAGTGCCATATCTCATAAACAATTATGTGATTCAAACCTTCAAGATTTGTACCTGTTTTCTACTGAGTTTAGGGTTTCAGCCCTGTAGGTGGTGTGTGGGTGGGTGTGGTGAGTGGGTGTATCTGTGTCTGTGTGTGTTCATTTGCACATTAATGGCAAGGACTCAAACCCCCAGTGCCTTGATAGGGAAGTGCTCTGACACTGAGTTGAACCCCAGCCTTGAGTTAATTTCTTTGTTTTTTTTTTTAAATATGTATGCGTGTCAGTGTTTCTGTCACGTGTATGAGTGCCCAAGGAGGCCAGAAGAGATGTCAGCTGAACTTACTGGGCATCCCACCCAACATGGGGGCTGAGACAAACAGGAGGAGCAGGAGGCATTCTTAACCATTTTGTCATCCTAGCTCCTGAGTCAGGTTTTGTGTAAGTTCTTTGATTTCACCTGGGAGTACCCAATTGTACCAGTTTGTTGAAAATAAAATCATTTTTCTATCAAATTGTCTTAGATGTCTGCTGAAAATCAAGTGAGTGTAAAGGTGAAGATTCTTGTCTGGACTCAATATGTATTCCATTTACCTGTCTGTCTCTGCATTTGTAGTTTCTTCAATTCATTCTACATGCCTCTATATGCCTATATGCCGAACATCGTGTTTGGCATTCCCATGATACCTGCTTTAAGAAGCAAACTCTCCCTCTCTGAAGCCCATGTTTCTTTTTAAAAATCCATTTTTTTAGCATGATATAGCATCCCTTAAATAGATGTAAAGTGATTTCTTGTTGTAGCCAGCTTGTAGTGACAATTGTAGCTCCATCTGACTCGTACGTGGTCTTTGCAAGTTTGTCCTGCTATATAAATGTTCAAAAGGCTGTATTTTAGGGAGCTTGAAGAATTGAAATGGTACAGGATTGCCAGTGAGTATGCTGAAGAATAGAGATGGTGCAGGATAGAGATGGTCCACTGACTGTGCTGAAGATAAGGTTGGCTTTAAAGGAGACAGATACTGACTGGGATTAAGGCTCCTGGAAGGTACAGAATGTCCTGTGTTCAACCTCAGGGGTCTAGCAAGTGAGAATAGGCATTGGCAGTAGTGAGGTCAGAGGGAATCAGAGGGCTGCTGGCTTTCAAATATCATTTTAAAAGCAGTTCCTTGCTAGTTTAACATCACAAAGAGAATGTTTCCAAATGATGGCTTATTTGGGGTGGCGCACCTTTAATCCCAGCACTCAGAGGCAGTTGGATCTGGGATCTCTGTGAGTTCAAGGCCAGCCTGGTCTACAAGAGTAGGCTTCAAAGCTACAGAGAGACCCTGTCTTGAAAAACCAAAAAAAAAAAAAAAAAAAGAAAGAAAGAAAGAAAGAAAAAGAAAAGTGGCAAGAATGTTGTAGGGGTCATGGTTATAGCATTTGAAGCCAAAGAGGTATAAATTTAGTAGAATTTGATGATTACTTAAAATAAAGATGTTATCATGTTATAAACAGTGTATTGGTGTATTGAGAGGATAATTAGACTTATGCTTGCAGTGAACAAGGTGAGAAAAAAATTGTTTTAAGTTAATAAGCTTTGATTTTTGCTAGTCTTGTTGGCCAAATATTTAAGTTTTATATTCAGGAACTTTCAGCATTCTTAGGCATAAGTAGAACTGATTTTCTGCCCATAGTTGCTTAGTCATCATGAAAACCATATTAGAAAATGAGCCATCAGGATCCTTGTTTAATGGTCAGGTGGTGGTTTTGTTTTGTCTCTAAGTATTAAAAATATTGTAGTTGGTCACTGACTCTGAAGGCTTAAGAAAGGTAGCCAGCCAACTTCCTCAGTTGTCATGAACAATGTTACTGCTTGGGGCAGGGAAAATATTTCAGTGATATTGCCAGACTTAATCTATAGCCACATAGTAGGTATCAGTTGCTGGAGATTGTGTTGATTGTAGACATTTGAAAGTTTTGGAAAACATATTATATGATAAAACGTATTGTGTAATTTTTTTTAAAAAAAAGTACATTAATTTACACATCCTAAATTTCTTCCAGGAATTGTGCCATCTTCTGTTGTCCTGACTTCTTTCCAGGTGATGTCAAGAGTTTTCCTAATATGGGCAGTAACACATAGTGTCAAAGAGGTGAGTAAAGGGAATATCCGGAGTGAGTCTTCTTGTACATGTTTGTTCTGGCTGAAGACAGAACTCAGATCATTTCAGAATTACCAAGTTAAAGTTCATGCATACTGCTGCAGTTAGGTCAAAAGTGAAAAACATAATCCCAGTCTTCACTGTTGCTCAGGAGAGAGCTAAGTCAGCATTGAAGACCTGGAGTCTCAGTTCCCATAGAGGTTGGGTGTGCATATTGTCAGCAACTCAGTTGTTTGCCTCGGTGTCTGTCTGTAGCCAGCTCATTGGCTTCTGCATCGTTTGGAGAGAATGGGGAACACTTCTGTTTTTGTGGTACCAGGAGAAGCAAACTTGTTTCTGGCCCACTAGTCTGAACTAACATCATTGCTACATGTGTCAGGTGGCTCATGTAGGTCCAGGAACCCTCACCACCAGAACTGGGAGAAAACCATCAATCCCTCAGGTGTGAATCCCTAGCCAAGCATTGATTTGTTTCACATTGTTTTGAGGAGGATTCTGCTGTTTTAGTGTCAGTTTTTTTTAAACACTGTTGTTACCTGGAGTTAGAGCATTGGCAGGTACAAAGACTTATCTTTGGCTTACAGTCTCTACAGCCTGTTAGCATCACCATGGGATTCCCTGAGTTTCTAGCAATTGCTTATCTATCTGTTAACTTTAATCTTGTATATTCTTTGTTCTTTAGTCTGAAATCCTGTCAAAACTATAGTGTTGGTCATAATCTCTTTTGACAGTCTCATTTGCATTTCAGCTAATGAGGCTTTTTTTTTCCTAACTTTTTAAAAATTGACCCACATGATATACAGGTAAAAATGTACATAGCTAGTGAAGTCTTAGCCAAGGTTTAAACAACTCAGATTAATAAACTATCATTTTCTTATATTCACATGGAATGAACAGATCCATGGACTTATTAATCTCTCATTCTTTCAAGATCTATCTAAACTTACTATGCAGGAAGCATGCAAAATAATTGTGTACCTACTTTTAGTAACCACAGTTTTAAAAGTTGTAAAAGGAAATTAAATTCTAGTATTACATACAACTCTCTGTTCTCATTCATAATTGTCACAGAGTTAGGGAAGTTGTGTTACTTATAATACCATGTAATGTCTTCATTTAGAGTTCTTTGTTTTGTTTTGTTTTTCTAGACAACATTTCTCTATAGCTTTGGAACTGGCTCTGTAGATCAGGCTGGCCTCAAACTTAAAGAGATCCACCTGTCTCTGCCTCCCGAGTGCTGGGATTAAAGGTGTGTGCCACCACTGCCTGGCGACTCATTTAGAGTTCTTTTACATGCTTTTTTCTTTCGTTTTTGTTTCTTTGTTTTTTGTTTGTTTATTTTGTTTTGTTTTATTTTTTGAGACGGGGTTTCTCTGTGTAGCCCTGGCTATCCTAAAACTCGCTCTGTAGACCAGGCTGACCTTGAACTGAGAGATCTGCCTGCCTTTGCCTCCGAAGTGCTGGGATTAAAGGCATGAGCCTTTAATCATCATTGCCCGGCCACGTATTTTTAATGCATATTTCTTCCTCTTACATTTTTTGTATACTATACTGTATAGTACACTATATATTTATACAATATATATCTATACTGTAATTTTTTTCATTGCAACCATTTTATTTGCCAATGTTTTCAAATAATCTAAAATATTTCCTAGTTGTAATTCAATTGTATTCTTCCCCAGTGCTATGGATTAAACCCAGGGCCTCATGTGTGGTAGACAAGCATTCTACCACACAGCCGTGTCCCCAGTCCTCTTTTTCACATTTTTGTTTTGAGGTAACATCTCACTAAGTCGCTCATGTCACCCTTGAATTCTTTTGTCCCACATAGATCTTAAATTACTGTGTTCTTAGGGCTAAGCCTCCAGAGCGGTTAGAATTGCATACCTGTATCACCAGGCCTAGCTGCTTAATTACACCTGAAACAGGTGATTATGTGGATTCAATAATGAGATGTAGTATGTGGAACCAAAATATTGTCCAATAAAGACTGTTCAGACACTTTGCAAATACAGTCCGATATTGATTATCCAGGTGTTAATGCCTTAGCTGCCTCCGTGACCACTCTTCTGCTTATTAACATGGTTGCCAAAGCAGGTGAACAAGCTCCCAAAAATACTTGCAGTTCAAATAAAGCAATTCCATTAGATTCCCAGATTTCCTTAACAGACCATTGAAACAGATTGTCTAAAAGCTATTAGATGTCTTTGTAGATTATGGGTGCTAGACTTGGCCATCAGCTCAGGTAACCACACTGCCTGCTAGATGTGCAGACTTGACATTTAGCTGGTGGTTCGAAATATAATATCACATTTGAGCGTTACTGGATATACTCATTACATACAGGTACTCACAGCTGTTTCTCTGCAGCCAGAGTGATCCAGTTTCTGCTAACGTTAACCGGCCAGTTTCTGACGACCTAGTGTAGTGAATTTCACCGTCTTCTTGTCACCTCTGTATCCTTGTGTTTCAGGATCCTTTTGTTTAGTGCACTCTATTGATTACTTGGCTTATTCTTTTCTTGAATAAATAGAATTCAGCATTTTTGCTGACCCAGGACTTTATTTCTTTGCCCTAGACAGAACTACTCATTCGTCATTTTGTTGATTCCAGTACACACACACACACACACACACACACACACACACACACACACACACCAGTTGCCTGACAGCTAAATTGAAAAACCTTTTACTGTGTTTTAGGGGCCAGACTGTTTGCTATCTCTTACCTGTCCTTAAGCCCCGTGTCTTAGCCAAACGCTATTTTTTCTGTCTTGAGCTTTCTTAGAAATTGTAATTCCATTTGTTGTGTCCAACATTGCATATGACTTCCCTTCCATTTCCTGAAGCATCTGAAAAGTCGCTGTGTTTGTCTTATCCCGCTCTGTGCTGTAACCCTGAGAACCACATAAATACGGTATCAGTTTCTATAGCTCAGTTTCTTTGTCATAGTCTTCCCTAAAGGGGACAGCAAGTAATCCACTTGCTCAAAAGTTACATTCTCTGTGGGTTTGATTCTTACTCTGCCTCTGGTGCTAATTCCTCTTATGTTTTTGTTGTTGTGTTGTTTTGTTTTGTTTTTCAAGACAGGATTCTCTGCGTAGCCCTGGCTGTCCTCGAACTCACAGAGATCTGTCTGCCTCTGCCTCCTTGGTCCTGGAATTAAAGGTGTTTTGTTTTGTTTTGTTTTTCTGTAATTTTGTGATGTGCTGAGGTCGAACTCATAAAGCTTTCAAGATCTGACTTTTATGTTGAAGTGTACTCCTTCCCTTTCCTTCCTTCCTTTTAAAAAGTGGGCTCTTATGCAGCCCAGCTTGCCTCAGAGTTAACTCTCTAGAATCTTGATCCTCCTGCTTCCACGTCCCAGGTGTGCTACCACACCAGGCTGAGTTGTCACATTGTGGAACTAAAGATGATCAGAGAGTTTTCTCTTACACCATAAGGACCCAGTCTCAGCTTGTGACACCACAGTAACAAGGTTGTTGAGAAAGTATCTTAGGTGGGTCTGCCTGGTGATGCTCACTTTTAATCCCAGCACTTAGGAGGCATAAAACGGGCTGACCCCTATTTGAAAACAGCCAGGGATAAATAGATAGGCCCTGTCTCAAAAGAAAGAAAAGTAAGAAAAGTATCTACTATACTAAACTTTTCCTTTAGCAAATATCATTCTTACATTTCCTTTTAAAGAGATTATACATATGAACAAAGAAAAGCTGTGGTGCAGCAATCAGCATGGAGGTGAGAGGGCAGTTACAGGAGGCAGTCCACAACTCTAGCTGACCTAATCTGTTCCGAGGTTTCCTTCTGTCCCGAATCTGACCTGGTTGCTACCACATCTGGCTTTTGCTGGTACTTGGTCCCTCACTCCCTCTTTGGTCTGAGTGTGAGTCTTCTCATTGAACTGAGACAGGGCCAAGATTTTTAAAATGAATTGCAATGGGCAAGTGTTCACTTTCTGTTTCTCACTGTGACTCCCTTCAGAAACAAAACTCACTTGCTTGTTCTGAAACAGCTAAGCTTGACCTCAAACTCTTAGACACACAGCTAGACCACTGTTCTGTTCTTTCCTTGTCTCGACCCTCTGAAAATCCAGTCCCTGAGTTTTTAGAGCACTGTTCTCTTGGTGGAGAAGCCCCAGGTCTTCTGTGGAGAATAGTTGGGGAAGTTCAAGACTTCCAGCCAAGCGCCATGGAGAAGCTCTACCCCCTTGTTGGGGATGACTTGCATAAAATAAAACTGAACCCCAAAGACAGAGCCTCGACTCCTTTCCTTACCATTTACCACAGCTGGAGCAAGGGCTGTTTCCCCACATTTTTTGAATCACTGCAGGCAGCTTATTTTGCACCTCTTTGTGGCACACTCTGGGCTTCCGGACATTTATGCCATCAGATTTATTTATGCATATGAGTACCCTATTTGCATATAGTCCTGCGTGATAAAAGAGGGCATCACATCCATTTAGATGGTTGTGAGCCACCATGCGGTTGCTGGGAATTGAACTCAGGACCTCTGGAAGAGCAGCCAGTGCACTGAACCTCTGAGCCATCTCTCCAGCAGTACTCTACTATTCTTGCCATTCATCAAAATGATTACAAGTATGTCAAAATCAGTATTTAAGAAAGTAGTGTCCGGTGCCTTATTATTGTTGTACTGATTATTGTTTGATGCATTATAATTTACAAAAGTTTTATCATTTGTTCTTGACTGTGCTCTCTGGAGGTAAATTGGGCCCTCTGTTAGTTTGGAAGCTAGAGAGGCAAAGTTACTATCACACCAGCAAAGGGCAGATTTGGAGTTGGTTTTGAGTCCGGGGTCTTGACCCTGCATCACAGTTGCCTTATTCTCACCCTTCTCACTGCCTAGGACCCAGGCCGTGCTTCCTCTTCAACACTTCATTTTGCCGTGTGCGTACGAGTCTCCCACCAAATCAATTGCACACCTTGTGCATATCAGTGGTGGGCCTCCCCTCAGGACTTATCTGCAGCA